TTTACGAATTTGGACGAAGATAGCTTAGGAGGAAGTCGGATCGTAAGGCAGCTCAGCCATTGGTAAAGGGGATAAGTATTACCCTAAAATCTCAAACCTCACAGATAGGTCTGACCAAGCAGCCTTGGCAAAGTGAGCGCTATCAGCAGCAGCGTCGCACAACTAAAAGTCTTTGATTAAGCTATTTTTTATGCTTTGGTTTTTTTAGTACATTACAAAGGCGTTATCGAGCAAAAAAAAGGCGTTATCGAGCAAAAAAAATCTGCGGGCAAAAAAAAAACGCGCGTCTCTCCCCAGAAATGAAAGCGGACTCCTCTATGGGATTTTAGGGTAATATTTTAGGGCAATATTTAGGGTAACGCACATCACACATCAACATTACCCTTTTTGCCAGAAGTGTCCTACAAGTACGTGCGTACGTAAGTACTTGGCACAAGAGTGATCATTTCATTGCGGGATTCACTCGTACGTACTTTCTTTCACATTGACTTGTGGCAGAGTAAGGACGTTCTGCGGGCGTTTAGGCATAAATGAGAGCGACGGAGAGGAAATAACACATGAAAGGGCACTTTCTAGACTTTTCCATAGCGGCAACTTTACTGTACTATCGCGTTCTATGGTTCGACGATATAAGCCGTAAATTGCTTAAATGGCATTGTGAGAAATAGAGTTATGTTCAAGGGGCAACCAGTGCTAGCACTTTTTCAAAAATTTCACGATCAGCTCTTGAGGACACGACCCTCCTACGCATCGCTCCCCACCATCAGCATCACAACTGTTTCAACAGTGTTTGATTTTGAGACCAGTTGACACAGCCTAATTCCAGCCCCCACCTCTTTCCTTGAAACGGGAGGGGCAGGGTAAGCACACCCAAGAAAAGGCAAATCTTTTGTTTTTCTTCGTTCCTGCGGCTTCTTGCCTCCCTTTCCTGCAATCCCGGCAATATAAAAAACCACCACGAATTCCCAAAAGCCGAACCTCCTTCTTGTCACTTACAACCACGCCCCTTCCTTCCACAAATCTGTTCCCTTTCTCTCGATCTTTTTACCTTCGACAGCCCCAATCACGACCACTTCTAACAAGATTTGAAACCCCCGCTCCGCGCCTGTTTGGAGATGAAAGGTGGCAGTGCTCTGAGTTTCCGAGACGCCCATTCCTCCTGAGTTCCGATTTTCGGCTTTTCGTGGATCAACAATTTGAAGGAAATATGAAGAAACATTCTGAATGACGCGCAGAAAACTGGACGCCAGCTCTAGAGTAATTCCGCCCTTGTCACGGTCCTACCGAGTTATTTTATAGAGAACTCTTTCGGAGCAAAATCAGGCCTTGGGCTCATATAAATTTACCTATACACTCACCTGATACCGCTGTTCTGCATTTATAAACCTGAACTGCAACGCACTTCCAAACCAAACACTTGCTTTCTGAATCACCTGTTTATGGCCAACTACCCAAATTTGATAAAACAATAATCACTGGAATCGGGCACGAACGCAGAGAAAATAGACTGAAAATGGGTGATAACATAGAGTAATAGCAACAGGTCAAAAGTATAGTATGAACGAAAGGAATTAGGTCGACTGAACACAAGTGCTGGTTGTTGGCGGAAGGTTTTCCAGAACGGCTGTTGCTTGGAGACTCGAATAGCATAAAAAGATATCAAGAAAGCTGAACACTCCGTGACACTTTGCTCGGTTTCTAGGTAGAAACTTCCAGGTTCCTCTAGTCATTCTAAGAACGCATGAACGTACTCGGACATTGTTAAGTTTTTTCCTGGATACGCCGTGCATCCAACATTACTTCGGTATCCCAGAAAAGTGCATCAGGAAATTGAGCTAACAAAATATTCTACGCGTTTGACTGATGAGTGTATTACTGTCCTATTCATTTGCCAGTATCAACTGAATATCCCAAAAATTGAGGGGCATCTAAGAGCCTTGTAAAAATCAATCCAGCACCATTCTAGTCCACAGCGCTTGTTTTCGCAGAATTATCACCCATTCAAGCAACCATGGTATAGCGATTACAAAGAAATAAATATTCGACGGAAACTGGCAACAAATGGTAAGGGGCAATGCTGATTCTATGGAACTGATAAGACCCCAATAAAATAATTCGATAGTAAAGATAAGACCACAAAAAAGATATCATGACCTGAAAGTAATATCGATATGGTAACCAGTTTGGCCGTAGCACAACGCATTGGGCGTGATAAAATGATATGATTGCGGATCTTGGGAACGAGCGTCGGCGGCAAATGGGAAGTCTTTTGAATGATAAACGATGATAATAAAAGCATACTGTGATGGTGATTGAGTTTTTGTGAAATTCTGAATTTAAAGTGTACGCACTGGAGGGGGGGGGTGAGAGAGAAATTGAAAAGAAAATGGAAAAAAAATTAAAAAAGACAAAAGAAAATGAGGTTGGCTGAAAAGAGCTAGAGTTAATAGTCAGAGTTTTAAGGAAATAGTTGGGGAGCTATGATGGACAAAGAACAGGTGGGAAACACTCATAAGCGATGGAAAACTGATAAAGAATGGTAATAAAATGGAAAAGGTATAAGGGGAAAGAAAAGTGAAGCGTTAGCAGCTGAAGGGCTTATCGCAAATAGGAGGAATTGTGGCAACAGTGCACTTAGAACTGCGTAATGCCCTTCCCGTCACAATCGGGACTAATGGTAAGCCTTAGACGGTTGAGTAGAGAAGTAGGGGCATGTGGGCAATTTTCATTTTTCCCTGAGTTTCTGCCCCTTACTAGGCTCAGTCCTTGAGGATGCCCCCGTACTTGTGGTGGCGCCGCAGCTGATAAATTTCTTCCCTAGATGCGCCACGCACTCTGCTTCCATTTAAGTGGTACTGCCACTTTAATACAACGCGATGTACAATTTAGTGACAGGTCTTCCATCGAGTGTGTTCGATACAAGTAACCCCCGATCTTCAGAGGGATGAATGTTGTCCTTGAGAAGCGCTCGTGATCGGTTGGCGACATGGTGCCTTGGCGCACGGTGACGGTACGATTTCAATTTTTTAAACGTTCTCCCTATTGGTGTCAGTGTTAGCTTGTTTTTTTTTTTGTTCGCTTTCTTCATGTCGTTAATTGTATCGCGTTTCTTGGAGTCATTCGTTGTGCGGAGCATGAGGATTTTCAGTGTGCGTCTGGTATAGCCCTCCTATGCTTATGATGTCCAGTGTTCTTTTATTTTCATTTCTCCAACAGAGATAGCTACCGTTAGCGCAGCTATCTTGGTATTATATGGAAGTGCGGTTGTCTGTTAACGGTCGTCGTAAGGTCAGTCACCGAATACCCTGCTTCTTGGAGATCGACTGGAGGACGGTAAGTGTGGAAGGTGGGTCAGTTCGATGTCATCAGCTGGCCGAGCTCACACGAGTGGATCGCAACCGAAGTTGGTGACTGACAGTATTTTAGTAACTATCAAGGCGACTCGACCTGAGGGAGGAGTATTATTGGTGTGAAGTGTGTAAGTCATATCGATTGGGCCCCCCCCCCCAGGAGCCCCCCCGATGCGGCCACGGAGATTTCCAAAAAGAGGTGGATGAAGGAGTAGAGCACTTATGGTGGGCGGGCAGACAAAGGGGCGGGGTTATCGTGCCGAATCCTAGGTCCCCCGGTGCTTAAGAACGGGGCGAGAGACACCACTTGGCGGTGTTGGCCCCTAATTGTACTGCCGTTCCGAGAAGTCAGGGTACACAGGCAGAGATGGGTCGGCGCCGCAACGAGGGAACAGCAGCTGTTAGGTGGCTGGGATGAGGCAGGGTGGCGGAGTTTGCGACGAATTCGTCTCTTTTTTCAGTTCCAGAGTCCGGACGGGAAAATGTGGATCGAGTGGGCAAGGAGTGGAGCCCAACTGCGTGTTGGTGTTGCGGGTGGTCCACAGTGGGGCGACATTTCAATCATTTCCCCCACTTCTCCATAATATGACGCCACAACCCACCCGTTTTCTCCAGCGGAGAATGCTTAATGACGTACTCTGAATCTCCTATGAAAACTCACCAGTAGGATTTTGGGCACAATGTGGCTGGGGGAGGGGACACTCTGTAGAAACGTCTCTGGGACTAAGCTTGCGCATTTTGTTTAGTCCTGATCTCGTGAAGGATGTACTTCACTTTGATTAGGGAGAGGGCGGCGACTAAAAAAATAGAAATGTAGAGCAACGATAGTGATCGACCCTGCTTCAGAAGATACTTTGTGCGTTTGGAAGTATGGAATTACATTGCCTCGTATGCTGAGAGTTCAACGGCAAATCCATTTTGTTCGCGGATGTCGCTATGTCCTTAGTTGTTCACTGAACACGATGGTGATACGGCGCTTTCAAAACCATGACATTTTCGGTTTTTTTGGTGAGATTTGTGACTGTGTGAAGGTCGAGCGAGTATGTTTATTAGCATAGCTCGATAAGGCTTCTGGCGGGTAAACTGCAAATTGAACGAACACTGAATTAATCATTTCTTAGCCTTGGGACTGGCAATGACTTGTTCGCAAATCAATTTGTGTGTTATACGAAGTTTCACGATAATCTGACGGCACTGTGTACAGTACCGTGAAACTCCAGTCTTGGGGGCCACTCCATTGCTATCTTATCCGTAGTACTAGAGAGCAGTTCTTTGGGCTATCGAACACTACGGATAAGATAATAAGTGAACGACTCATTTCGAGCGTACTTTTGATAAGGACCGGTGGATGTCCTACATTCCACACTACCTGCCCACATCCACTTTTCTGCACAGGTGATCCACCCTGGAGCTCCTGCACCCTTAGCCCTAGGCAGAGGTGTCCATTCTCCTGGTCCAGGACGTTCCCTTGGACCATGGCAGGCGGAAATGTGAAAATCTCAGGGTTTCTTCCACATTACACCGATACTTATCAGAAGTCTACTTTAAATGAGTCGATTACGTGTCGTGAGCCCTCTAATCCTTATCTTGAGTATTGGAAAAAAATGGAGTGCCCCCCCCTCGGTTCTTCGAGAAGAACTCTACTAATTATGTGTGGGCCCTTTCTGGAAACCAATTGAGGTGTTCGGCTTAAAAAGAAATGATATGATTGTAGTGAATGTTTCGCATCTCACCGTAGCTGTAGTCATTATTGGCGTCGTAATTTCCACAGCAGATGTATTGCCTCATAGCAGTGCTGTACTCACAGCCAAATCCCACGGAACAAGGCAGATACATGCAGTTCTTCACCACTCCAGACTCCCTTTCCACTTGCTGGTTTGGCATTGTACAGATAGCTAAACACGATAGAATAACTTACTTCAACCGTTTGAATGGTATCTTTCAAAAAAGTGTTAAAACTCACGATTATCGTATTGAATGTTCGAAACGCAGAATCCATTTCTGCAGTAGGCTCCCGACGATTGGCACTGGGCCGAGTTGATGCAGGGACCTCCAATACCGGAAATCGGGTAACACGTGTTGCTGATCGATATCTCATTGGGAGCACAAGCTAGAATATCGAATCGTAAACAAATCAGCAGACTTTGAGAATTGGGCTGTAGAACCTTATCAGGGCTCTATGTGTACAGGAACCATTAAACCAATTTGCCCTTGGCTTGTGTCAGCGGTCACAAGTTGCGCAGATGGGAGTTCAAGCAGGGTCAAGCGTGCGTTGAGGAATCCTCGACATGTCACAGAGGGGGGGGGTCGTATTGGCCCGCTGGGGAGAGATCGGGCCCGATTGATACAGTAGGATCATCGTCGGAGGACAAACATTAAGGATCGAATCGATACCAGGCCAGAGTATTTCCAATAACAATTGATTCCGTCCACACAAAATCTTCGTGATTTAGAGGTGTCCGCTTAGCAATTCTTAGTGACTTTCAGTG